TATGCAAACAAAATAATTATCCACCAAGTTTCATTAAACGTTGCTGCAAAGATAAACGTTGCTGCAAACTACAATGCTCCAACTAATACAACTTGGGCAACAATCCCATACATCAATGGAGTCTCAGAAGCAACCGCCAGGATCCTTGCCCCATACAATATCAACATAGCACACAAACCCAACCAAATGTTACGTTTCCAATTGATGCGACCCAAAGAACCATTACCAACCAGTGATTTGTCCTCCATTGTATACAAGATCAACTGCAACACATGCCAATGTAATTACATTGGAGAAACATCAGAAAGACTTAAAACCAGAATACATGAGCATATTTTGGCAGTAAGAAGACAAGAACAATGCTCCCAAATCTGGACCCATATAGCTGAACATGGCCACACTTTCAACTTTAAAGGAGCAGAAGTCATTGCTCATGATTCCACCAAGGCCGTCTTTTAAAAGAAGCTTGGTTTTCAGACTGTCATTCTATTAATAGACACATAGACCTACTACCTCCTTACCAAACCCTAAAAAGACATTTACAAAAACATAAAGTACCTAAACACTTCAACCCAACCAATAATAACACAAAAACACCACCCCAGCCACTTATCAAACCCCAAACCAACACAATAGATATCCTTTCTACAACACAATCCTTTTCATCAAACCTAACTAAAGAATATAATTCTAACACAACCATGACAACTCACACAACCAACACACCATGTTCTGATATTCTCACACACAGAAACAACAACCCCCCCTGACCACAACATCCAGGACACAAACATCCAAAACATAAATCCTGCAACCTCACAAGATACTCACACACAACAAAACATACACACACAACACCTAAGTAACAACAGAATATTAAGACCAAGACCAAAACTCCTCCCTACAATGAAATATGACTTATCACATTCAATGGAACAAAATATTACAGCCCAATTCCCAAACACCACAAAACCACCCACAACTAATAAGCATAACAAACGAACACACACAAACATTCCAAATAACCATACCCAACAAAACACACACACACAACAACCCTACACCAAACAAACTATACAATCCAAGAGGCTGGCTAAAAAGGCTTGCTGGATCTACGCGCCAAACAGCTGACAAGCGCGACTTTTAAAATGGTCTTGAGACTGACTGCTCTATGCCTTTAAGAGCTTCTTGGGCACAATGTGTGCACATGCCTCACTTCAACTGTTTTTTTAACAGTTATGTAAATTTATGCACATGCTCCCCCTTCTCATTTAGCCCTTTGCTCTGATGATGTTAACAGGTTGTTAACGAAAGCTCAGCAGTTAATAAAAAAAAAAGGCTTTTGTCTTACATCCCAGAGCTCTTTATTTTTATCTGATTGACTTTAAATGTCCATACCTGGGATTCCTATATTCAAAATTATTAAAGACACATATGGACGGGCAGTATTACAACAAGCCAGATATTGGGAGAGTTTATCCAAACGCAAGACTACCAGCTATGAACAACTAGCTTTTTTACATAACTGCATCCACAACAACCTCCCACCAAAATCTTTATGCAAGAAGCCTCCAATTAAATCACCAGAAGGTTATGCAGCAGTTTGGCAGTTCCAACGCCGCATCATGCGTGCCATGATTAATCACCATCACAGACGCATTGATGCCCAAACTACCAGAATCCAGCACCATCGTGAACAATGCCGATCCATCCTCACCCAAGAACATTTCAACATCCTCAACCTCTTAATATACCACACAACCCAAAAAACACGACAGCGCAAAACAGAGATACTTCAAAGAAAAACTGAAAGCTTAATCACCTCAAACAAGAAAGAAGTCCTTGAAAAATTGGTACACAACCTTTCATCTAGGACCTTGACCAGTCAACAAACCTCACTGTTACAACGTGATCCTGGTACCAACCTTAAGGATGCCAAACACCTTGATTTCGCAGCTTCATTTGAACCAATCATTCACCGCATCGAAAGCAGTGAAGACATTAAAAACACCATCAGGCAACGAATATCAGGACTACTTATCAACCACAGAACATACCACACGTTACCAAAATCTGAAAGCAGAGCTTTAGAGGATCTAAGAAAAGACAAATCCATCATCATCCTCCCAGCTGATAAAGGTAGATCTACAGTAATTTTAAATAAACATGATTATGACCAGAAAATCCTTGATCTACTTAATGACAAAACTGCATACCGCATCACCAACAAAGATCCTATGACATCACTCACCAACCGACTTAACAACACTTTAAACAGACTCAAGAGACAAAACAGAATAAAAGACGAAGACCACAGATCCATCCGACCCAGAGACACGGCCATGGCACGTATATATGGACTCCCCAAAATCCACAAGGTAGGAGTTCCTTTAAGACCTATCGTATCTTTCAGAGGTACACCCACCTATGGCCTAGCAAAGTGGTTAAGCTTAAAACTCAAACACCTGATCAGTGACTCCCTAACCACGGTGAAATCCTCTGAAGATTTTTTGATGAAATTACGTACATTAAAGGTTAGAGACGATGAAATCATGATCTCATTCGATGTAGTATCCCTCTTCACATCCATTCCCCAAAATCTAGCCATCTCTATTTTTAGAAACCTTCTGCAAAAAGGAGAAATACAACACCCCAATTCTCCTAGCACAGAGGACTACATACAATTACTGGGTTTCTGCCTTCAAACTTATTTTACTTACAAAGACACAACTTATGAACAAGTGAAGGGCACACCCATGGGGTCACCCATTTCAAGCATCATCGCTGAAGCAGTACTGCAGGATCTAGAACGTGTTGTCATGGCTGATTATCAACCTAGTTTTTGGGTTAGGTATGTGGACGACACCTTTGCAGTCATTAAGCGATGTGATACCACCAAATTCTTACAGAAACTGAATTCATTCCATCCAGACATCCAATTTACAGCAGAAGAGGAGGACAACAACACCTTACCCTTCCTGGATGTCTTGGTCCATCGCCTTCCAGATGGCAACCTATCAACCACCGTCTATCGCAAAACCACTCACACTGATAGAATTCTCCACTACCAAAGCAATCACCCTATATCGCATAAAATCAGCTGTTTAAGAACTTTATTCAAAAGAATCAAGACCCACTGCAGCACAGAAACAGCAAAATCTAAAGAGAAAGCATACCTTCTCAGCATATGCAAACAAAATAATTACCCACCAAGCTTCATCAAACGTTGCTGCAAAGATAAAACACCACACTCAAACTACAATGCTCCAACGAATACAACTTGGGCAACACTCCCATACATCAATGGAGTCTCAGAAGCAACCGCCAGGATCCTTGCCCCATACAATATCAACATAGCACATAAACCCAACCAAACGTTACGTTCCCAGTTGATGCAACCCAAAGAACCATTACCAATCAGTGATTTGTCCTCCATCGTATACAAGATCAACTGCAACACATGCCAATGTAACTACATTGGAGAAACATCAAAAAGACTTAAGACCAGAATACATGAGCATGTTTTGGCAGTAAGAAGACAAGAACAGCGCTCCCAAGTCTGGACCCATATAGCTGAGCATGGCCACACTTTCAACTTTAAAGGAGCAGAAGTCATTGCTCATGATTCCACCAAAGGAGGCCGTCTTTTAAAAGAAGCTTGGTTTTCAGACTGTCATTCTATTAATAGACACATAGACCTACTACCTCCTTACCAAACCCTAAAAAGACATTTACAAAAACATAAAGTACCTAAACACTTCAACCCAACCAATAATAACACAAAAACACCACCCCAGCCACTTATCAAACCCCAAACCAACACAATAGATATCCTTTCTACAACACAATCCTTTTCATCAAACCTAACTAAAGAATATAATTCTAACACAACCATGACAACTCACACAACCAACACACCATGTTCTGATATTCTCACACACAGAAACAACAACCCCCCTGACCACAACATCCAGGACACAAACATCCAAAACATAAATCCTGCAACCTCACAAGATACTCACACACAACAAAACATACACACACAACACCTAAGTAACAACAGAATATTAAGACCAAGACCAAAACTCCTCCCTACAATGAAATATGACTTATCACATTCAATGGAACAAAATATTACAGCCCAATTCCCAAACACCACAAAACCACCCACAACTAATAAGCATAACAAACGAACACACACAAACATTCCAAATAACCATACCCAACAAAACACACACACACAACAACCCTACACCAAACAAACTATACAATCCAAGAGGCTGGCTAAAAAGGCTTGCTGGATCTACGCGCCAAACAGCTGACAAGCGCGACTTTTAAAATGGTCTTGAGACTGACTGCTCTATGCCTTTAAGAGCTTCTTGGGCACAATGTGTGCACATGCCTCACTTCAACTGTTTTTTAACAGTTATGTAAATTTATGCACATGCTCCCCCTTCTCATTTAGCCCTTTGCTCTGATGATGTTAACAGGTTGTTAACGAAAGCTCAGCAGTTAATAAAAAAAAGGCTTTTGTCTTACATCCCAGAGCTCTTTATTTTTATCTGATATATATATATATATATTTCTTTTTTGCTGGCAGAGAATGTATTGCAGTTGCGACTTGAGCCTGCTTAATGCCCCTAGTTTGGGGGGCGGTAAGGCAAAAGTGATTATAAAAAAGTAGAACTGCAGTATAGCAGTCAAAAAAATGCCAAGGTGCAATCAATCAGACCGGTCTATCTGAAAAACTTTCTTTGTGTGTGTGTGAGTGTGAGAGAGAGAGAGAGAGAGAATAAAGGCAGGATAAAATAAACAGATAAAAATAAATGCACAGCCTTCCCTCGCTCAAGCTCTGCCCTTCCCGGGGCTCCTTCTGAGCCGGGCCAGATTTTGAAATTTCCCCCGTAGCCAAAAATTCCGCAGCTGAGATTTTCGCCGAGGCTTGGGCTGCTTTGCCTTTAACATGTCTTCCCCCCCTCCTGCCGATGTCTCCCTCGCAGATATCCGCCTCCGGGTCCGGGCCGAGTACTGCCAGCACGAGAGCGCCCTGGAGGGCAACGTCTTCTCCAACAAGCAGGACCCCCTGGAGCGCCAGTTTGAACGTTTCAGCCAGGCCAACACGATCCTGAAATCCCGGGATCTGGGCTCCATCATCTGTGACATAAAGTTCTCGGAGCTGACGTACCTGGACGCCTTCTGGCGCGACTACATCAACGGCTCCTTGCTGGAGGCCCTGAAGGGCGTCTTCATCACAGACTCGCTCAAGCAAGCCGTGGGCCACGAGGCCATCAAACTCCTGGTCAACGTGGACGAGGAAGATTACGAGGTTGGCCGGCAGAAACTCCTGAGGAACTTGATGCTGCAGACGGCGCCTTGACGGCTCCCTGGTGGCGGAGTTTTCTTTTTCCTTTTTTCGCCCTCTCCTCGGGCTCCCCGTTGGAGGAACGTTTTGTTTTGTTTCGCAAAATTATTTTCCTTAAAAAAAAGAGGGGGGGGGGGCGGATATCTCCGAGGAACGAAATCGGTCACGTACTGAATTGAGTCTTTTCCGTGGGAGGATACGCTGGGGTTTTTTTCCTCTTCTTCATTCCCCCAGGGGGGAACTGGAAACGGGGGTCCAGGAGTGTTGGAGAGGCCATCCCGTGCCCCCGCCCCCCGCCTCGAAGGAGCCTCTTTTCCTGGACTCGCGGAGCATCAGGGAGCCCCCAAAAGATGCTCGGCGGTTTCTTCCTTACCGCCTCCTCTCTTGTGCCGTCCGACCTTTCTGTTGTTTTTGGTATCGTTGCCATCAGTTCGATTCCTGCCGTCGCCCCCTCCCCAAGTGAGCCCGACCGCCAGGCCCCCGAAGGCAGGCAGGCCCTTAGCCCGTCTCTTCCCGTGAAAGAAGCTGTTGTCCACGGGTCCCTCTTCCCGCCCGCCTCTTTCGGAAGCTGCAAGGGAGGGACGGGACGGAAAGGGAGACCTGGGCTCGTAGGCTCTGCCTCCTGCTCCTCCGTTGCCTTTTGTTTTTAATTTGCACTGAGCTGCTCCCCATATGGGGGAGTGGTCTTAAAGCAGGGGTTCGGGTTTAGTCATGGTTTGGCAAGGGAAGGGCCAGGGGGTCTCGTGCGAAGAAAGCAGCCAAGGTGGGGCACGAGATGTGGGTCCAAAGACGAGAGGGAGGGGAGCTTTGAGCCACGGCTGCTACGCTGAACCCCACTTTGGGGCGGGGAGGGGACTTGTGGGTCAAATACAACAGGGCTTTCCAACCTTGGTGGACTTCAACTCCCAGCGTTGCTGGCTGGGGAATTCTGGGAATTGAAGTCCACAAGTCTCCAAGTTGCCAGGGCTGGAGACCCCTGAAATAGGAGCCCCCCTTTGGCTAAGACCATCCCTTGGCTCTTCCTGCCCTCCTTCCTGTCATCCCACCTGTGCCTTTTCCTCGCCTCCAAAGATGAAGGAGAACGCTCTTTCCTCTTCCCTCCTCAGCCGTGCAACCTTGGCGGACAGCTGCCCATCTGAGGTGGTTGGCCCACAGATGGGAAGAAAGGAAGACCTCTGCCAGCTAGAGAAGGAGCCCGAGCTTCGGAGGGGCACCCCGTGTGGCCGGGGCCAGCTTTGCGGGGGGGGGAATCCCATTGGTTCAGCTGACTAGTCTGTTCTTCCAGAAGTTTCCCCTGTCCCGACTTCCCCACCAGTGGTGCAAAACTGAATAGCTCTCGGAGGCAGACAGGGGAGAGATCCCGCCCTCGCTCCCCATGGTGCTGAGCGCAGCGCTGGTTGCATCTGAATTTTCGTTTTTCTTTGGGGAGATGGCCAGGGGACTCTGCCGGGGTTCAGCTGTGGGGTTACGTTTTTGGTAGCCCCACTGGCCTTGGCAGGGTGTCTCTTTTTTACCCCCCCCCCAGACCCGCCTCTCTTTTCCCCGTCAGCTGTGGGATTTGCTGGGACTCCGTTGGTCGAGAAAATAGAACAGAGCCAGCTTGAAAGGAATCGGTTCTGTGATTTGCGCTGGATTTCTTTTTTGTTGGGCACTCACACATGTCATATTTTATTTCTGCCCCCCTTAAATCACGGGAAAGCCTTGACAAGCAGGAGCCAGACCTCTCTCTTTGGGGGGGGGTGTCCCAGGAAAGACCCCCCCGGTTGCTTTTTCAAGATGGCGGAAGGGCCGCCTTTTGACCCCTTCTGGTTAGGAAGGCTCCATCCAGCAGGGGAAGGGATTGGGAGGCGCCCAGCAAGCGTCCAGCTTATACAGCCATAAGCTCAGGTGGAGCGTTTCACGGGGGGGGGGGAACTTGCAGGAAAAGCGGGTTTCCGTCCTGCACAGAAGATAAAAGGGCATTTAATTCACCCGGAGACTCGATCTGTACGAGTTTGTGTTGCGATTTGCCCGTTCGCTCCTCTCTATTTGCTGGCAACGGCTTTTTCACTTTTGAGAAGAACGAAGGTTGTTAATGGCGCTTCGGATTTGGTTTGGAAGAGGCCCTCATACTTTGGAGCCTGCGCGAAAGTGCAGCTCACCCAAGCGGGCGCCTCTCTTTCTAAAATTGCACAGCCGCCCACCCTAAAATTGCACAGGCCGTTTTGGAGGTGTCCCCTTCGGTGAGCTGCCAGCGGGGGCTGCTTTGGTTCTCATGCCAGGGTCAAAAATGGGGGCCCCTTTTTCCAAGTCCAAAGCCCTGGGCAGCTCATCTCAAGTTCCCCAACTTTTTCTCTATAAAGACCCGCTTCCTGTCTGAAGTGAATCCAGGAAAAAGTGTGACCCCCTGACTCCATTGGCTGCATAAACTGTCCCCAAGCGAGCGGCCCTTCGCGTGGCTTAAAATGGTCCAGCTGGACGTTGCAGGCTTTTCCCCTCTTCCCCCCCAGCTGCCTCGGGAAGTACACAAGAGCCCAATCATTGCAAACCCTGTGATTTCATGATAATTCTGGCACAAATTTGTGTAAAATCGGTGACTTCTTTATTTTTTTTTTTTTAAGGAAATGTCAGTGCAACTGGTCATATTCCCTAATGTACCTTTTGTTTTTGTTTTGTTTTTTTCTGAAATGATGATGATAATAAAAAAATTCTTCTGCCTTTTTTCGGTGCAGCTGTTGGGGTCCCTGGAGTAGTGTGTGCCAACAGAACAAAGCTTTCCAGGCTGGTGTCCTGGAAAGGTTTTTTACAAGAAGGAATATGTGTTTCCACCTCAAAACCTAGGTGGGTCAGGGGTCTCCAACCTTGGCAACTTGAAGAGCCGAGGTGGCGCAGCAGTTAGGGTGCAGTACTGCAGGCCACTTTAGCTGACTGTGTTCAGCAGGTCAGCGGTTCAAATCTCACGGGCTCAAGGTTGACTCAGCCTTCCATCCTTCCGGGGTAGGTAAAATGAGGACCCAGATTGTTGGGGGCAATGTAAAAATATATATATATATATATATGTTTTCTGAGGTTTTCGCGTATTTGTATATAGGTCTTTGGTTGTTCGGGTTTTCTCCCGCATAAAATTGGAAGTGTCGTTTCGACGAAGTCACATTCATATATATATATACACACACACACACACACACACACACACACACACACTCACATTGCTTACTGGTGTACACCGCTTAGAGAGTGCTTGCACTTAAAGCGGTATATAAGTCTCATAAATAAATAAATGACTTGAGGACTTCAACCAGCTGGCACAGCTGGCTGGAGAATTCTGGGAGTTGAAGTCCACAAGTTGTCAAGTTGCCAAAGTTGGAGAGCCTGGGTTAGGATATACACCTTGTAGATCCCAAAATAATTTTATGGCGCTGACCTCTCTGGATACAGGTAGTCCTCGACCTACGACCACGATTGGGATCAGGATTTCCATTGCTAATTATTGTGTCCAATTATATGACCTTTTTGCCATGGTCGTTAAGCGAACCACTGCAGTTAAGCGAATTGTGGCTATTCAGCAAATCTGGCTTCCCCCATTGACTTCACTTGTCGGAAACTGGCTTGGAATGGCGATTACATGACTCTGGGACATTGCAACTGTCATGAATTGGGCTGGAAGGGACATTGGAGGTCTTCTAGTCCAGCCCCCCGCTCAAGCAGGAGAACCTATGTCATCTCAGACAAGTGACTGTCCAGTCTCTTGAAAACCTCCAGTGATGGAGCATCCACGATTTCTGGAGGCAACTTCTGTTCCACCTGTTGTCTTCACTGTTAGAAGTTTCTCCTTAGCTCCGGGTTGCTTCTCTTTGTTTCTCGTCCTTCCCTCTGGTGCTTTGGTGAACAACCCCCCAAAAACTGGAATATTGCTATCATGTCACCCGTTTTCTTTAGACTAGCCAGACCCCACCTCTGCTTTGCACACGACTGCGGTTCTGTTCCATGACCTTTTAGCCCTGCCTTTCATGGCTAGGATTGCTCTAGATACGACATTCTCATAGATGCCAGTGGGGACCCACCCTCAGAAGGTAGCACTTTATGCATTTCTTCAGCTGAGCTGAAACTGCAGCGGAAAGTATTTCAATTTTTCAGGGCTCAAAATTGCCTTCCACTGAAAGCGGATTAAACTTAAAAGTAAGTAAGAATAATCAAATAAATTAAAAACAAAAGCAAGCCCAAAGGGCACACTTGATGGACCACTAGGTCTTTTTCTGGTGTCAGTTTCCCATGTAAAGAGGTGAACGAGCAACTACTCCCATCTCCCCAAGCTGGAGGGGCTAAACATAACAGTTTTGGAAATTTTTGTTTGCAATTTGGTGACCTCAGCAGCTCCCATTTACTAGATCAACCCTGAAAACGCCTTATCTGAGCCCGCCATGTCACAGCCACCAATCTGCTTTGGGGTGCTTAAGTTCTAACAATTATGTGAAGAGAAACAACTTATTGCCCCCTACAAGTCCACTATAGGTAATGACAACAATTGATCTCAAATTTCTGTTGTAAGCAAGAAGTTAAGCGTGTTTTGCCCTATTTTATGACCTTTCTCGCCACAGTTGTTAGTAACATGGTTGTTAAGTGAATCCAGCTTCCCCATTCACTTTGCCGGAAGGTCAATAAAGGGGATCACATGAACCCAGAACATGTACATGCCAGTTGCCAAGCATCCAGATTTTGATCACCTGACCGCAGGGATGCTGCAGGTCACGTGAAAAACAGTCACCATTTTTTTCAGTGCCTTTGAAGCTTCGAACAGTCACTAAACAAATGGTTGTAAATTGTGTACGTTCAGGAGATGGCGAAAAATGTTTGTGAACCATCTGACACGTGACTAATTCTGCATGAGAGATGAATGAGATCCTGTGGTCGCTTTCCTTTCTCCCACGGATTGCCTGCCAAGTTCTCCTAAACCACAGGAGCTGAGCAGAGACTGACAATTTTGTATAGTTTATCGGGAGCCCCAAAGCCTTTGCACGCGTGGGTTCTGACTAGACTAAAATGTGGCAATTGCTGGCGGCAGCTTGTGCAAAATAAAGAGTGCGTGTGCGAGTGTGCACAAGGAGACTTAGCTGAAATCAGTTCTATAATACAGAAAATAAATCAAGTTTTAAAAATCAAGACTGGTCAACAAGAGACGTTTAAAACAGATTTCTCCCTATTCCAGGTATTTTGTAGAACACGCTTAATCTTGAATCAATATTGACAATTAAATTCTACTCTAATTCCACGTGTTGCAGTAATGAGGTGTTGAATTTCTGTTGCTAAGCAGGGCACCTGTTAAGTGAGTCATGTCTGGTTTTATGACCTTTTGCCACGGTCTATAAGAAACTCCTGATAAGAAACTTATTTGTTTATGAGACTTATATACCCGCTTTAAGTGCAAGCACTCCCTAAGCGGTGTACACCAGTAAGCAACGTATATATATATTTACATTGCCCCCAACAAGCTGGGTCCTCATTTTACCTACCCCGGAAGGATGGAAGGCTGAGTCAACCTTGAGCTGGTGAGATTTGAACCGCTGACCTGCTGAACACAGTCAGCTAAAGTGGCCTGCAGTACTGCATTCTAACTGCTGCGCCACCTTGGCTCTTTTTGGTGAATCGTGAATCTTCTAAGCCTCTGAGCGACATAGACATACATGTGTATGTGCCCATATATATGTATATGTACACATGCACATAAAAAGTGAACATACTTTATGGGGGGGGACATTGCCCAGATTTTGAGGGAGATGGGTGATTCGAAAATGTGAAAAATAAAAACTAAAAATACACACAAACTGAACCCTCCCCCCCACTTTAGCAGAGAAAATTAATCCTGAAGGTGAAGTACCCCAACCTTTTATTTTATCAAAACCAGGGAGTCTCCAACCTTGGAAACGTTAAGACTTGTGGCCCTCGATTCCCAGAATTCTCCAGCCAGCGTGGGGAATTCTGGGAGTTGAAGTCCACAAGTCTTAAAAGTTGCCGAGGTTGGACACTTCTGATCGTACGGAAATAGGGGAGTCTTGAGCTGCTTAGAAAAAGGAACTGGATTAAAGTCAAGAAAGGAAAGCTGTGTGGCTGAAAAACAAAATTTATTTCAGGAAAGAAGCTCCTCTAGAGGGAACGTGACCGACTGGGCCCCACACCAGTCTAAACCCCGAATGTCTGAATAGTCAAAAGCAAACTTCTGATGCTCCAGTGAGGGGCAGTGTGTCGAAACGCCTCCCTCCCCAGCTCAGATGTTACCTGCATTCTGTGTCTCTCCTTGCCACTTTCCCTCTGGACAGCAGCTCCTGTTGGGCCGGAGACCCTGGACCCTGCAGAGTCCAGCTGCAGCAGCCAAGCCCCCTCCCTGGGGCAGCTGAGCCCGTCAAGGGGGCGCAAAGCCCCACTCAACAGCTGCCCGGCCATATAAGCGAGGCTGGCGGTGGGCAAAGACGGGCATCTCCTGGCGGAGGCGGTGCAGGTAAGCCAGGTCGATTTCGGCAAAGCAGAGACCGGGGCCCTCCTGGCACTGGGCCACGATGCCGCCCCAGGGGTCCACCACCATGCTGTGGCCAAAGGAGGTGCGGCGAGGGTGGTGCTGGCCCGTCTGGGCCGCGGCCACCACGTAGGACTGGGTCTCCACGGCACGGGCTCGGAGCAGGACCTGGGGAGAGGAAGCCATGAACAGAACACCGGTAGTCTTCGACCTACGACCCAAATTCAGCCCCAAATTTCTGTTGCTAAGGGAGACATTTGCTCAGTGAGTTTTGCCCCATTTTACGATCTTTCTTGCCACCGTTGCTAAGTGAATCGCTGCAGTCAATCACTTAGTATCACAGTTGTTAAGTGAATCTGGCTTCCCCACTGACTTTGCTCGTCGGAAAGTCACAAGAAATATCCCAGGACATTGCAACGGTCATAAGTACGAGCCAGCTGCCAATCAAAATCTGAATTTTGATCTTGTGGCCGTGGGCATGCTGCAACCGTCACTGAGGGTGAAAAACGGTCGTCCCTTTGCTTTCAGTGCTGTTGTAACTTCGGAACAGTCACTAAATGAAGCACTGTAAGTCGAGGACTGCCTGCAGTAAAGGCCGAGGGACTTACCTCCCAGTGGGCAGCACCGGTTGTCACAGTGAAGGCCGACGGGAAGGTGAGGATCTCGGCGCCCGCCTGGGCCAGAGCCAGGGACATCTCTGGGAAGCGGAGGTCGTAGCAGATGGCCAGCCCCACCTGGAGAAGAGGCAGAATTGGGAGCCCCTCTTGCTGGAAGTAGCTGGGAAGAGGTTACGTAGCACAGCCGGTCCTTGGCTTACACCATGATGGGAGCTGGAGCCTCTGTCACTAAGTGAATCACGCCCGATTTGTACAGCCTTTTTCCCCCGATGGTCGTTAAGCAAAACCTTCTTGACTCTGCGTGTTGGGAAGCCCCCAGGAAGGTTACGAAGGGCGATCCCAGGACCCCCGGATGTCGTAAACGCAGGCCGGTTGCCCACTACCCTAATTCTGCTCCATGTTTTTTATTTTATTTTTGTTTATTTTTCACATTTTGGGACAGCCCCTGTCCCTCAGAGAGGGCTCTGGGTGGGGCGGGGGGGGGGCTAAACAAATATTAAAATACACACATAGGATTTAAAAGTTAAAAATGTAGAAAAAGAGGCAAGGATGATTAATTGGTCTCCATACAGGTAGTCCTCGACTTGCAACAGTTT